GCTGAGAGCAGCCCCAGGAACTGCTGCTGTGCACTGATTATTTCCAGGCTGAAAACGACATCCTTCAAATAAAGGCACTCTTTCAGCAGACACTTTACACGGGTATCCTTCTCACCCTTCGCTTTGCGTTGCGTCTTCGCCACCTTGCCCAGTGCTTTAGCATGGAACCTTGAATAGCAGTATTGTATCTGCCATTGCAACCAGCACTTCTTCCTTTTCATTGTACGAAACAGCAGAGTTTGCCTGGATGTGGTGGATGGTTGGGGTAACAGAAAACATGAATGAAACAGGATGAGCAAATGGTGAAATATCATAGAATCATAGAATGGTTCGGGTTGGAAGGCCTTATATATCATCTGGTTCCAACACCCCTGCCATGGGCAGGGAAACCTTCCACTAGACCAGGGTGCTCAGAGGTCCATCCAACCTGGCCTTGAACACTGCCAGGGAGGGGGCAGCCAGAGCTTCTTTGGGCAACCTGTTCCAGTGCCTCACTACCCTCATGGTGAAGAATTCCTTTCTTCTATCTAATTTAAATCTTCCCTCTTTTAGTTTAAAGCCATTACCCCTTGTCCAATTTCAACAGGCCCTGCTAAAATGCCTTTCCCCATCTTTCTTGTAGGCCCGCTTTAAGCACTGAATAGGCTGCCATAAGGTCACCCCACAGCCTTCTCTTCTCCAGGCTGAACAACCCCAATTCTCTCAGCCGTTCCTCATAGGTGAAGTGTTCCAGCCCTCTGATCATTTTTTACTAAATATCATATAATTAGTTTCAGTTTAATATTGCTATATGTCTGTTGCCAGTGTTTTTTTACTTTAAAAGAGCTAGATGTTTTTTCTGTCTTTACAGTCAAAGGTTTCTGAACAGCTTTCTAACCAAATAGTCAAAACCTGAATTAAACAGAGACTTCCAAAAGAAAATTTCAGTCCATATGCTTGCAATTTTGATGAAATTTCAAAAAATGAAAAGAATGGGTTTGGTGGGGACAAAAAACCTGATCTGGACGTTGGTACTAATTCGCCCTATAACGATAATGTAAATTAATTAGTATTTCCACCAAGCGCATAGAATTTGTTTCATTAGAGTCAGCATAGCAACTGTGTTTTAAAGTGCAGGTTCTAGCTTAGTTTAAAGGAGACTGACATTTTCTTCACATCACAGCTGTTACTAATTTCAGGCTTTTCTTGAAGAACTTGCACGTTCCATCCAGTAACATTTTATTTTCAGTTTGAAGGGTTAAAACTATCTGCATAACTGAAGGAATCAGTCTTAATTTCTTACAGCAATTCTGGCATGGAACTGAGAGATTCACGGAATTGTTAGATGCTACTCTGTGTCAAGCAGTCAGCCTTGTAGTCTATCTATATTAATAATAAAATAATGGAGAAGTGCCTACATGCATAAAAGGCAATTTAGCACTTCAGCTCATCTGCCTGTGTAATAAAATGCTACAATATATTTTACTTGTGAAGCTTTTGGGAGTGAAACAGTGTCACAATCTGCTATCCAATATCACAGTACACAAGTCCAGATAGTCTTAATTCATCTTCAGCATGTCTGTGTGAAGGATACCAGTATTCATGGTGCATGTTACATGGATTGCAAAATGCTCCACAGACAACTGAAATAGCTAACGTATTTGCAAGAAAGGTATTATCACGTATTCAATCTGCAGTTCAGAAATGAAAAGTGTAGAGGGTACTGTTCTATGAACTCGGGTCTCTAGCCTATAGCACATTCCGAGATCTCTAATTGCCCACAGTGAGCTTTGGTTTACAGTCCACTGGAAGACCGTTGGCTCACTAGTCTGGGAAGGTCATGCAGAAAGCATGGATTGGCATTTTGCCCCAGAGGGTACTGTTCTATGAACTCGGGTCTCTAGCCTATAGCACATTCCGAGATCTCTAATTGCCCACACTGAGCTTTGGTTTACAGTCCACTGGAAGACCGTTGGCTCACTAGTCTGGGAAGGTCATGCAGAAAGCATGGATTGGCATTTTGCCCTTGCAGGCAGCCTGGGCACAACCAGTTCAAGGCACATAACATGGTGAACTTGTGCCTCGGCATGATCATCGCTAGAAAAAGATTCTGTGGCTAGACTAGAATGGTACATGGCACTCAGGAGTGTCTAACTTTCAAGCATCCAGTTCAGGAAGTGGAATTCACACATGTCTAAGAGCACTGTACACAGAAAGTGTAGGTCCTGAAAATGGAATTTGAAATGAACAGAGGAGCATGGGAAAGTTTCTCAAATCACATCTATTATTTGCCTTTCAAAGTATTTTTTAGTATTTGGGTTCCATGTTATTCCTTTATGTTTCTTGCATGACTGATTAATGCTTTTCTTCTAAAAAGCAGTCCCCGAAGGAGGCAGTGATGGTGATGTCAATGGAAAATGGTTTTGGTCTTGTGGTTGGGATAGTTTCCTGAGAAGTGTCTCCCTGTCGAGAAGGGGTTCAAGTGTGCATCTCAAAACCAGACATTTCCCTGTGCCTTCCCATCCTGGCCTTTTGGTTATAAGTTATGTCACACTTGCTGTGCCTAGTCCCTAATACAGTGCTGTCAGCGTGGGGTAGATATGCTCCAAGTATGTGGGCTGCATCAGGCACATCAGAATTAAATATGAGATGAGAAGTGAGGCCAGCCATAAAAACAACACTTTTGTATACATGCAGTTGCAGGGTATTATGTGCTTATATAATTTTACTGGTGAAAACTTCCGCAGTTAGACATTCCTGAAATCAGGCATTTCCATTTCATGTAAGTCATAAATTAGTTAGGTGACTAATTGCCTTTTGAGGGTTAGACCCAAAGATGTGATATACTACATTTGTGGGGGTGAAGGAATGAGTTCATGTCTTCCACAGTTCAGTCTAATATAATCTTAGCATGACATCATTATCTTTTCCTTGATCAAGAAAAGGGAGTCAGATGCTCTGCTCCGCGTTTTATATCTGCAGTGTTTTCAGACCTGCTGCTATTATGTTGAGTTTCTGAATTTCCAGTAAAGTTGGGTACTATTCCCTCAAAGGAAACTGATTTTAAACCTTAAATTATCCAAGATAATTATTGTTCATTTTTTTAAAATGCTTTTTTCCCCTACATACTTGGTTAGTTATTTAGAGCTTGAAAAATTGTATTCAGGAGAGGTCAGAAGTTAAAACAGACAACAACCTTTGCATTTAGGAAATTATTGTCTGGAAAAGTTCATAGAGCAGAAAGATATTACTTGATGTAGAAAGCATTTCAAGGAGAAAGCATGTGCAAAGAACCTGGAGAAGGATTTCTGTGGCTCCGGTCGGGTATTAGTCCATCTCAATGGCTCACCTACTGTACTATCTGGTATACTGTATTCAGTTCTGTGTGAGGTGTAAACAGAGGCTCACGTAGCATCGAAGGATGATGTTCTGGAGGGGTTTTTAGAGAAGTAAAAGTGTAATACTGATCAGAGTATACTTACCAGAAAAAGAAAGGAACCAAGAACATTTTTTTTTTGCAGTGGTATGGAAATAGAACTGGGGAACTAAGAAAGTGACTTCCTGGGATAATCTTTCCAAGGAATGAGAAGTCTCAGCCCTGTGAACAAATGGAAATAGAACTGGGGAACTAAGAAAGTAACTTCCTGGGATAATCTTTGCAAGGAATGAGAGGTCTCAGCCCTGTGAACAGTTATGATAAAAGCTGAGGACCATGTGAAATGGTAACATTCCCCCACTGTCAGAACAAAAGGTGAAATGGTTGCCTCTGTTTCATTCTTGACCACACAGCTGTGGAAAATGGAGAAGCAACTCATGTTCAGAATGCTGGCGTTTCGGACAATAGTCTGTTTTGTGTTGCAAAAGGGAGAAAAAGAGAGAAATAGTAGTATTCACTTGCTCCTTCCTGATTAGAAAGCTCGAGAACACGATGAGGGATTTGATGATGGAATGCTTATGTTTGGGATTCTCTTCCTCATCAAATTAAAAAAAAAAAGAGCAGTAGTTCAGAAAGGCAACAACAATAGACAACTCCGATTTTCCATTACTTAATGTAACATAATGAAGTGCTGCTGTTGGTTTTGCCAAAACTTCAGTGGAAAAAAAACAAACAACTGGAGCTGCCTGTTTAGACTTACTCAATATGAAAGCCTGCTGCAGAGCCGCCAGCTAGCTACAAGTGACACCTAATTCAAATTTTTAAAAGACATGAAGTAAGGAAATGCCACTCTTAACCCATTGCAATTAGGCGTATGCAGATAAGAAAAGGACTGGGAGGGAAAGGAGGACGATCCTCAGCAAGATCAAACTGCTGCTTGTGATTGCTGGGTTTGACAGCAGGAAGAGGCACAAGTAACTCCTCTCTGAAACCATCAGATCTGTTCCCCAGTTCTTTCTCTGCCTTTTCCAAGGGCAGCCATATAAGGCAGATAAAAGGGAGGGACCCTGCATTGCTCAGGGTGGGACTTGACAAGTTGGGGG